TGCAGCCTGAGAGCCTGTCCGAAAGACCTTTGGCCTTGTGGGGAAGGAATCCCAACCCTACAAACCCCCCATGAGGGCTGGCGACACCACCAGCTCTGACTCTCCCCCCCTCTCCCCTGGGGACGAGAAGACCCATCCCTCCCCTGCCCCAAGCAGGGCAGTAGGACTGGCCGCTCAGCAGAGCCAGAAATTCAAATCTGCCACCCACTGCCAGAGCTGTGGTGATGGCCGGGCTCACAGGAAGCCAGGTTGTCTTCCTCCCAAATTCCCCACAAGACCTGAAGCTTGGCCATCGGCACGTTGCATAGACTGCAGCTTACCTGCCCTACTTACGCTACGACACCCTCCACCAGGGCAACGCCACGCGGCCCGATGGACCCAGGCCCCTCTTAGGAGTAGACCAGGGGCTACAAATAGCTCTCAAAATGGACACGTGTCATGTCTCCTTCTCATAAAAAGACTTGACCAAGCTCCCCAGCCACTTACGAGAATGCCGATCACAGGGAGGTGAGAGACATGAAAGGTTCATCGATGCCGGCGGATCTTGGAACTCACAAAACAGCTCAACCGAAAATGGATTTTCCTCAGTCCAATATTGGCGGTGCGCTGCGTTGCTTTAGGGAGAAGTGGCCCCTGAACCCAGCCAAGGTTGGAAGATGCCGGGAAGGCCTTTTGTTTGCCTGCTCTATTGGGTGCATGCCCCGACCACGCTGGTGGAACGGGAGCTGGCACGGTTTTTATCACATCTGGATATTGCAATTGGAAAAATGCACTTTCGCGAGGCAAAGGTTTCATCAAACCGGCAAGGTGCTTAGCCCTCTTGGAGGCAATGGCTGATTGAATTGCAGCCAGGAAAAGAGACGCTACAGGTAACTGTTTGCTATGTCGACATTTCTGTGACACCCCACAGGGAGAACAAAGAACCTCAAAGAATATGCAGTTGAATCAACTGGTTGTATTTTGATTACAATGTTATTGCGTAATAAATAGATGTTGAGCAAGATTTCTTATGAAAGCTTGGACTGTTCTAAACCTGAGGGTCAGTCTAAGATCTGGCTACAAACCGTGGTTATGAATTGATGTAGTTGTGTATATAAAACTGCTCATAATTTGTGCTGCTAAGCTCCAGTAGTACAGGGAGGAGAAGGAATCAGAGACCGCAAGGACTGGGAAGGACTGGCTCCCCAACTAGCTCCAAGTAGCATTGTACAACCTAGGAACAGACACTAAAGTTAATGGGAAAACACTGAAACGAAAATCCTAATGTCGGGAAACTAAGAAAGGAGGAAATGTTAACTATGAATCACCAGGCCAAGAGGACAAAAAAACCAAACCAGCCTTTTGAAAACTGGCTTTTCATCAGCGCCTATAAACGTTCAATCCTCGTGCTTGAGGAGGGCTCCACAACTTGATCGCAAGATCCAGCATGCAAAAAATGCCCTGATTGTATTATTTCAGTGTGTTCATTTGCTCGAGAACATCCCCCAATTATAAATTTGATTTTTATATTTATTTGATCACAACTTCTTTTTTCAGGTGCCACGATGGTTGCTTTGGTGTCACCCTCACAAATGGAAAGAAATGGGTAGTATTTGAAAACCTTGGCAAAAGTTCTGCAGTTTGTATTGATAGATCTTACGAACAATTCATCAGGAATTGTCATCAACTTACTTAAGTTTATTGCAGGACACGATCCAGAAGTCAAGGATGAGCGGCAAACCGTTCCGAACAATGCGAAGTACACTGCTGCTGAAATTCAGACTGATAGTGGTGAGATGGTTTTGAAAGACATTGTTGAAGATATTCAGAAAACCAGTTACATCAAGTTGTTCTGCTTAAAATATGACACGACAAAGGGATGCTGTGAAGAGGGTGACCAGACAGCAAATGTGAAAAATCGGGACGGGGGTGGGGGTTAATAGGAGCCTATATAAGAAAAAGACCCAAAAATCGGGACTGGCCCTAGTAAATTGGGACATCTGGTCACCCTAGCTGTGAATGTAGAAAATGTATCCACTGTTTTATGCTCCTCTGTTGGTGGCAAAGTCCTTGTTGAAGTAGCCCAATTGCATGGCCTCACTGCTGAAGCTATTACACAACAAATTTTGAACAGGGCTGCCCAGTATTGCAACTTTTTTTTATAGAAGAGGCCCCCAAAATTGTTTTGCCCCAGGCCCCCTGAATCCTCTGGGTGGCCCTGATTTTGAAAGACCTCCATGAACTGGGTCTTGACCCTAAAAACACTTGATGTTCTTGCTTTGATGGCGCCAACCTTATGTCAGGCAGTGTACAAAATGCCTTGATATGAGAAATTAAACAAGCAAATCCCTGACACACACTGCTTGAACCACCGATTACATCTGGGGCTGACTCCCGTGTGAGAAGAACTCAGCAGTGCCAGCTATGTTCTCAAATTGTTCGTCTTTAACTGAATTTTTTCGCAGGCATGACGGGAGTGTGCCGTACAAAGCCAGCACCTGCAAAGCCTCACAGCAACAAGATGGCTTGGAACTAATCCCCAATAATTTGGAAGCCATTCGGAGTATTCTGTCAGACTTTGTGGATGGATCTGGCGACTGGTCCATTGAAGCAAGAGGGCTGTTGGATGTTTCAGAATCATCCAAATGCTTGTGCTGAGCTGAGCTTAAAAGAATGGTTTTGAGAGTTTGCTCCTGGGCACAATGACCTTCGAAAGGAACGAACGCACCTTGCGAAAGGAGTTGAATTGATCACCCTTGCGCGTGAAGCACTTCAACAAACATGAGTTTTCCCTCAGCGATTTCATCCATGCACCCTGTTTTGACAGGTGAATGTGATGAGGCAACAGCATTAAAATGTGTCACCAAAAGGGCTAAGATTTCATAGGCGCTGAGCACTTACCAGGATGTCAAAGCATCGGTGAGCCTCAGTGGCGCCAGATGCCCCATGAACTGATTGATGAACATGGGTGTAATGTATTCTACTCCACCGGCACTCCAGACTTCTTGAGATTGGAATCTTTGTGTGCTTTGACTGACTTGCTTGGATTAGAGATGGAGCAGGTGAAAATGGAAATGTCTGTGTTTAAAGCAGGGGCGTAGCCACGGCCCACCCGCTTAGCATCCAGGCCACCCAAATCTGAGCAGGGGTGTGGTGCTGCCACAGCGACCCGGAGCATCTGACATCCAGGACGGAGCTCTGCACCCCCCCCTCCAGAAAGCTAATCGCCGGCAGCTCTGCCTTGCCATGTTCTGAGCTGCCCCATGCGTGTGCCCAGCTCAGCAGGTGAAACCTGTGTCTGGGGGCACCGGGTCTAGGGACAGGGCGTGGTGTCGGGGGAGAAGCTGAGCTGGTACCGTCTGTCATTGCCCAGCCACCCAAAATGCCCACCCAAATTTCCTCGCTACGCCACTGACTGGAAGCACTGCTAGGGAATGACAGTGCAAAGAATATGAAGACGTTCTAGGGGTTGCCAAGGAATTAAAGGAGGCGTTCGTTCATATGTAGTTCTGAAATGTCTGCAGTGGTCTTGTTTGGAGCAGCGTCTGCAAGGTGTGAGAATTCCTTTGCTTGTTTGAGAAGATTATCACACCAAAGGACAAGCACAACCCAGGACAGAGAGAAACCTAATTCGCCTGTCATAGGAAAGTGATTTGACTTCAAAACTGACCCGGGTTGTCTTTGTGGCAGAATTCAGACACCATCGCCAGGAAGGTATCAACGTTAGTTTATGACCAGTTTGGGCATTATACAACACTTTCACGTTATGCTCTCGCCTTTTACATTTCTGACTCTGAATGTTTTGAATGCTTGAATATTCTTAGACGGAGCAAACACATAAATAGGGCTTCATTTTTTAATTGCATAAAAATAAAGTTAAAAACAAGGGTTCTGACCGACACTGCGTTTTTCACTAAGTACATATGAACTTCTGAGGGCACCCACAACTGTTCCTCTTGTCATACAGTCCGGCCCGTCCCTCGCTTAGCTGCAGGCCTGTTGGGCCCCTGCACTCCAGCGAGGTGGGTGAATGGAGTTGGCCTCCTTCCCAGCGGCCTGACACTCGGCTGCCCCGGGGAGGGGCTCATCAGAACCCAGGGATTAGCTAGGAATGCCTGGCTCTCAGTTAACAACCGCACCTGACCCTGGGAGCAGCTGGCCCCGGTGCTGCCCGAAACAGCGAGGACTCTGGCTTGGCAGTGCCCTGGGACACAGCTTACCACTGTGCGCTCTGCCCCAGGCCCAGTTGCATTCCTGACCCCCTACCAACACAGAAGCCTATGTGATTAGTGTGGGGGTGGTTCAGTCCTCCCCTCGCAGTCACAGCTGAACCGTGGCACTGTGGGCTCAAACAGCTAACCCAGAGCAGGGGGGGCGCAGGGGCTGTCCATGCGGGGGTGCAGTAGGGGGAGCTTGGGAAAGGGGGGACAGGGCAGAGCAGCTGTTGCCGGTTTGCTTACAGCATCCGCGGAGCCCCGTCGCAATGCACCGTGGGCTTGGCCCACCGGCTGATTTCCCCACTCCCAGGATAGAAGAGCTCCGTGCCCTGCCTGAAGGCCTGGTAGCGCTGGCTGCTGGGCCTCACTAAGTCAGGGCATGGTGGGTGGGGG